CGCGGTGCGGGAGACGCGTGCGGGAGATGCGCGCGGGAGCGGACGGACGCGGACGCGAAAGCAGAAGCGCGATCTGTAGGAGCAGCGCTCGGACAGCAGCGCTCGGTCAAGGAGGATCGCGGGAGAGAAAGGCCGTGATCGAGCTAGTGGAAGAGGCTTCTCTTCTTTGATGTCTCTGATACCATGTGAATTTTTGAATAACTTTCTTCTCAATGAATACATAGATAATTCACCTATAAATAGGCGTTTACAAGAAATAAAACAAGGAAAGAAATCTTCCTACAATTAAGTAATTCCTATAATTATAGAATAAACATAAATACCTATAATTAAGAATTACTATTTTTATACTATCACAAAATATAGCAAGTACTAAATAACATTAAAGTAAATAATAATGAGCGTAATTCCACAGATGATATTCTTTTGTGGATAAGACTAGAGAATGAGTTATGAAAAATCTTGAATTATGAAGGTCTACATTGGAGTTTAGGTCTGAATTATGAAGGTCTACATTGGAGTTTAAAGGTCTTCATTTGAATAGAACTAAAACTGAATACATGGAATATAATTTTAGTTGTAGTAGCTCTAGTGGTAGAGTTGTAACTATGGGAACGTTTTAGATATCTCGGGTCTATTGTTCATAGTGATGGTGATATAGATAAGGATGTTATTAGCAAAATTCAAGTTGGTTACTTGAAGTGAAGGAATGCACCGGGTCTATTGTGTGATAGAAAGTACGACTTAGATTGAAAGGAAAATTTTATAAGATGGTGATGAGACCTGCAATGCTGTATGGTGCAGAATGTTGGCCTTTAAAAGAGAAGCATGAAACAAAGTTAAGTGTTGCCGAGATGAGAATGCATAGGTGAATGATTTGCTTGACACTTAGAGACAAAATGCGAAATGAATATATTCGTGATAGGGTTGGTGTAACTCCAGTGGCGGACAAGATTAGAGAGTCATCTTAGATGGTTTGATCACATTAAACTTCGCTATCTGATGATCTAGTTAAGGGAGTAGATGTTTTAGTTTGGACCTATGTTACGAAAGGCAAGGAAAGACCTAAAAAGACATGTGCATATTGTATATAAAAATGATCTTAAGTTATTATAATTAAATGATAATATGACACTAAATGGGACACAATGGAAAAAAAGGATTCATGTAGCTGACCCCAATTAGTGGAATAAAGGCTTCTTCTTGTTGTTGTTGTTGCATATTAATGTGATAAAGTTTGATGATATTTAAATTATCTTTCTTCCCATGCTTATGAAGTCTTGGAATTTGTTTTGCCACTTTGGAAGGACATTTTTTCTTAAACTGTTGCTTCATGAGGTTTTGATAATTTGTAGGAGAATGATCTCCTCCGGAAAACAAACCTAATCCTCATATTTGAAAGTACTCTTTTTTCTGCATAAGATTTTTTAGATGCTATCATTAGAATTGAAATAATTCATGTTGAGAAATTTAGGGCAAAGAAACGAGAATCGACACAAATTCAGAAGAAAACACAGTGATTTAACGAGATTCGGCAAAGATGTTTACGTCCTCGGGAGCATAGCGGTGACTTTCTTTTAATTTCAGAAAAGAGTACAAAATATTTCTTAGGGTTATATACATACATACATACATATATACATACATACATACATATATACATACATACATACATATATACATACATACATACATATATACATACATACATACATATATACATACATACATACATATATACATA